CAGCAGCAGCAGCACCACCTGCTGCTGCTGCTGCTGCTGCTGCTGCACCTGTGCATGCAAGCGATTTGATGTTTTCCTGGTTGTTTACATCTGCCCCCCCATCAGCAGCAGCAGGAGCAGCAGCATCATCATCAGCAGCAGCAGGAACAGCAGCAGCAGCAGCAGCAGCTGCTGCTGCTGCTCCTCTCTCTCTATGGCGACGCTCTCTTGATAGAAAGAGCCTCGAAGGGGAGCTGAAGGGGGCCCCGGGGGCCTCCAGTGGTTGCATGCGTTTTGTTATATTGCTGCAGACGAGCAGGCAGCAGAAGCTATACTAGATATAGCAGCAGCAGACCCAGGTAAACATTTTCCTGCTGCTGCTGCTGCTGCTGCTGCTGCTGATGTTGCTGCTGCTGCTGTTGATACTGTTGCTTCTGCGCTTGTTGCAGCAGAGGCATTTGCTGCAGCAGCAGCAGCAGCTGCTGCTGCTGCTGCTGCTGCTGTCTCAGCTTCACGGTCAAGGGTTCAGCCTTGAGTTTGCTGCTGCTGCGCGCTCCCTTGGCTCTGTGGTTTATGCAGCACAGACGAGGGTTTAGGGTTTAGGGTTTAGGGTTTACACTGCGAGCTCTGTTCAGGGTTTCCTTGTGGCGGCATCCAGCGGCAGGTCCTCCTGGCCCTCTGCAGCCTCTCCGTAGACAGCACGAGGCTGCATGTAAGGGTTTAGGGTTTAGGGTTTAGGGTTTAGGGTTTGGGGTTTAGGGTTTAGGGTTTGTGGCTCAAAGCGACAGCGAAAGAGCGGCGAGGGTTTTCTCAACAGTGCGAATAACTCCTACTGTTCAGCTTCTAGGGTTTAGGGTTTGGGGTTTAGGGTTTAGGGTTTGGGGTTCGGGGTTTAGGGTTTAGGGTTTGGGGTTTAGGGTTTAGGGTTTAGGGTTTAGGGTTTATGCGGGTCGTTGCAGGACACTCTGAACTCTGTCTTCGGGCCAACAGAACAGCTCGCTGGCACTGGTTAGCTGCTGTTGCTGTTGCTGCTGCTGCTGCTGCTGCTGCTGCTGCAGTTCCTGCTGCTGCTGTTGTTGTTGCTGCTGCTGTTTCTGCTGCTGTTGCTGCTGCTGCTGCTGTTGCTGCTGCTGCTGCTGCTGGAGCGGTGCTGTGACTCGGCTCTCCTGTGGTAGCCGCAATCAGAATATGTGTTCTATGCTTCAGGGTTTAGGGTTTAGGGTTTAGGGTTTAGGGTTTAGGGTTTTGTGTGTTGCAGAGGAGCAGCGCATCGGCAGAATAATAAAAGCAACGACAGAGGCGGGGGCCCTCCAGGAGAGGAAGGCAAAGGCAGCAGCAGCAGCAGCAGCAGCAGCAGCAGCAGCAACAGCAGAAGCAGCAGCCAGTGCTGCTGCCGCTGCTGCTGCTGCTGCAGATGGCAATCCCGGGGTTGGAGTCCAACCACAACAACAGCAGCAGCAACAACAACCGCAGCAGCAACAGCAGCAGCAGCAGCAGCAGCAGCAGCAGCAGCAGCAGGTGCTGCAGCATCCGCTGCTGCAGCAGCAAACAGCATTCGCGGGAGCTGAGGCTTCTTCTTTTCTATGGCACTCAATTGGCTTGGCCTACCAGCGAGTGAGCAGCCTCGCCCCTTGCTGCTGCTCTTACACAGCAGCAGCAGCAGCAGCAGCAGCAGCAGCAGCAGCGGGAATAGCTGCTGCTGTTGCTGCTGCTGCTGTTGCTCCACTTGCAAGCCGCATTTGTTGCTGCTGCTACTTGTGCTGCAGCATTTGCTGCTGTTGCTGTTACTGTTGCTGCTGCTGCTTCTGCCTCTACCGCACTTGCTGCTGCTTCTCCTCCTCCTCTTACTGCTGCTGCTGCTGCTGCTGCTGCTGCTGCTGCTGTGGGGCTGCATGCAGGAAGCAGCCTCCCCCTCTTCTTCCCAGGCCGCCTACCGCCGCTGCTCGGCTCTCTGTCTCCTCTGCGCCCTTCAGCTGTCTCCTTTTGCTCTTGGTTGCTTCGAGGCTGCGTTGCCTGTTGGTTCGCCTCCTGCTGCTGCTGCTGCTGCTGCTGCTGCTGTTGCTGCTGCTGCTGCTGCTGTTGCTGCTGCGGGTGACAGTCTGCAGCAATTACGAGCAGCAAGGCCACGCGCTGCAGCACAAAAATTTTTCCGCCTCACCGTTCCTCTACCTGCTGCTGCTGCTGCTGCTGCTGCTGCTGCTGCTGCTGCTGCTGCTGCTGTTGCTGCTGTTGCATGCAGTGTGCAGCGACACTTCTTTCTTTTTGTTGGTGCCCCCGCGACACAGCCCCACACAAATAATAGAAGCAGCTCTGAACCCGAGCCGTGTGGGGCGTATCATGCGTCGTTTCTGCTGCTTGCTGCTGCTGCAGCAGCAGCAAGCTGCTGCTCGCATGCAGCAGCAGCTGCAGCAGCAGATAGACGATGTAGAAACACAGCTGCAGCAGCTGCTGCAGCACATACAGACAGGGCAAGCAGATATGCAGCAGGTGAATCGGGCGTTGCTGCTGCAGCGGCAGCAGCAAAAGCTCAAGCAACTGCAGCAGCAGCAGCAGCAGTGGTTGCTGCTGCTGCATGCGCAGCAGCAGCGGCGATGGCAGCTGCAGCAGAATGAAGCCTTGTGGCAGCGGGGGACTCTCCTCCTGAGCCACACTCTGCGGCTTATCGGTATTTTTTATTTTTATTTTTTATTTTTTATTTTTATTTTTTTATTTTTTTTTATTTTGTATATCTGTCTGTCTCTTTTTTATTTTTTATTTTTTTTTATTTGTCTCTGTTTATCTGTCTCCATCTGTCTCCTTCGCTGTCTCTTTCTTCTTTTCTCTGTCTCTTTATTTGTCTCTTTTTTTCTGTCTCTTTATTTGTCTCTTTCCTTCTCTGTGTCTCTGTTTGTCTCTTTTTATTTCTCTTTTTATTTGTCTTTTTATTTCTCTTTTTATTTGTCTCTTTCTTTTGTCTTTATCTGTCTCCTTATCTGTCTCCTTATCTGTCTCTTTGTCTGCCTCTCTCTCTATATATAGTGTATATAATATATACAACGTGTATAATATATATAATATATATAATATATACAATATATAATACATATAATATATATATATATATATATATATATATATATATATATATATA